TCGTGTCATTTCAAAATTTGTGGTTGCGTCTTTTCATTAGCGTCTTTTCATTATAACTGAAAAGTAATGTCTTTTTATTCTCAAGTAATGTCTTTTTAATTATAAATAGTTGCATTTTTTCATCACAAATACTATTCTTATATTATTTTATTAGAAACATTTTCATTTGTAATTGTTAATTTTTTTTAACTTCACTAATAATTTTATTTTAAATTTAAATAAATATTAATTATTATTGCATCTTTTTCATCATATTTTTTATAACTGTCCCGCCTTTTCATTATTTATAAGGTACATTTTTTCATTAAAAGTTGTATTTTTTAATATTTATATTTTTCTAACTGTATAAAAACACAAATTTATGATCATTTTTATTATTTATTAGACTAATAAGTAAATATTTTTATTAGTTTGTCGTGTTTTTATCCCAAACTTAATCACAAAAAGTTTGTTAATCATATAAAAAAGTTTATTTTCCTACTTTTGAAGGTTTGAAAGATTTTCTAATACTCACTTTTAATATTCTTATAAATAATATAAAGGACTGTGTATAATATTGTATCATATATAACTTTTTCAACACTATAACTATAATTTAGAGGATTGTGTATTTTATAACTCTTTGTTTTTCTTATTTTTCTTAGTATTAAAAATCTTATAAATTATTTGATAAAACTGCATATATAAAAATTATAATTCGTTTGTATATTTTCATTTATAATTTATTGGTAATAATTCAATTTTCTTACTCCTTTTATTATAATTTCTAGAATATTTTTATATTTTTAGGATTATTTTTATATACATTATTGTTACACTAATTAAATATATTTTTGAATTATTTAATATATGATAACTAATTGAAGCGGCGGTTTTATTTCTAGTTAAAGAAATAAATGTCTCGTTTAAGTTAAAGGCTATTAAAAACAATGTCGAATCCTTAAATCCAAACCTCACCCATTTATTAACGTAACTGCCTAACTGTCATGTCATCACCTTCCTCCTTTATCATCAACTTCTCTTTTATGTATAAACATTTCTTCTCCGTAAAGAAAACACACATTTAACATTTTATCGAAATAGATAGAGAGAGAAATAAAATAACACGATATACGACTATGATTCGTCTGGTCGCCGGAAACAGTCTCTAACGCTTACATCCACACCGTTAGAACAGTAAGAATACTCTACATCAGTGATGCATACTTATTTGTTATGCCATCTTCAGTTTCTGAAGTATTCTTACTTTGAATAGCTTCTTGTATTTTTATATAAAATAATTCGATGGTTAAAACGATATTTCATGGTTGTTTGAAATGATCTTATTTTATAAGTGATTGTTATTTGTTTAGACGTTCTTGATGTATGTGAATTTAGAATGTTGATCTAACTTTTAGTTTGTGTATATAAATGTGTGCTTCTTGAAGTGTAAAAGCACAAAGAATCGAGTGTGGCGGAGTATTTATTAGCTACGGCGGCGGGATGGAACACGAGGCTGATCGTCGAGACTTGGACACGAGGAGATCCGATCGCCACAAGCGTCGCGGGCATCCATACGTGCGGAAGTCACGTGTGCATAGTTCCCGACGAGTGTGATGATAAGAGCTCTTGCGAGTGAAACGACGGATGTAGTGGTTGGAGAATTGCAGAGGATGTGGTGGAGAGACTTTCCGGCGTGGATTTCATGGTGGTGGACTCGAAACGCCGCGAGTTCGTTAAGGCCGTTTTGGTGTGCAAACGCCACCTATAAATCTATCTCTGGATTTAAATGGCACGGTGTTTTGAAAAGAGACACACGTGTTGTGCGATCGGTGTTTTTACCCGTTGGGAGAGGGTTAGATATTGCACACGTTGGAGCCAATGGTGATTTGAATTTTGAAGAAGCTTCTTAGCCCTTGGATTAAGCACATGGATCCTCGATCTGGAGAGGAGCATTTGTTCAAGCGTTAATAATCTAAACACTTAGGAGAAAGTCTGCGTGTTGTGCAGATTTATGATATTTAAATAATTTTAAATTTATATTATATTTTATTATATTTTTATTAAAATTTTATTGATAAATATTAATTTTTAGATTGTGGATACCATATAATTTTTTAAAGTTTTGAATTAAAAGATTGGTGAAATAATAATATTTATATAGAATGAAGTTTGTCCGTGTTAAGAAAGTGTAGCTGTCACGATTCTTTGAAAGCACGCAAAGATGATCGGAAAAAAAATCCGGAGGATAGTGGTGGTTTGAGATTCGATGGGGTATGAAAAAAAAAGAGTGAGCCATTAATCTAAAATAATTTTCTATTTGATTGACCACAAAGAAAACATAAAGAAATAAAACTAATTTTTGCATATAAGTAATGCCACAATCAGCTCTTGAAATTTGAAAATGTTCAAAAGTAATATGAAGCAAGAGACATAAAGGATAAGAACCTGTGGAGAAGAGAGAAAAAATAAAACACAGCATTATTTTTTGTGTTTGTTCGATTAAAAAGAATTGAGGAGAGATAGGAAAAAAAAAATTGACACATGACCTTACTCTATCATATAAGATGTGTATTTTGTTGGTTGATTTGATATGATTTTCTTTTTTGGGTGAAAAAGAATCATGTCGAGAAGAGAAAAAAAACCAAAGCTTTGTTTTTGTGTTTGTTCGATAAAAGAGAATCTCGTACAAATATGAAAAAAAAAAAATTAGACATGTTAATTTATAAAATGATATGTGGCAGCATATTATAGATGTTTCTAAACAAAACCTATTATACAATGCATTATTTTCTGCTCGATTAGTCACAAAGAAAACTTAAAGAAATGAAATTACTTTTCGTGTAGAAGTATATCACAATCAGCTCTTAAAAGTAAAATAAACTTCTAAAATAATATAAAATAGGTGACATGAAACAGAATCAAGTGGAGAATGTGGAAAAAATTGAAATGTTATTTTTGTGTTTATTTGATTAAAGAAATCGAGTAGAGATAGGAGAAAAAAATAAAAGAAAAAACAAATTTGACGCATGATCTTACTCTATCATATAAAATTTGTATTTTGTTGGGTGATTTGATTTTTCTTTTTCTTTTATTGGATGAAAATGAATTGTATGGAGAAGTAGAAAAAAACTGAAATTTTATTTTTGTGTTGTTTGATAAAAAAAGAATTCAGTATGAATATGAAACAATTTAAAAAAATAGTGACACATGTTGATTTATAAGGTGACATTTGGCAGCATATCAGAACTGGTTCTAAAAAAAAATTACTTTATTAGAATAGATTTCTTTCTTTTTTTGGATGAAAATGAATTGTGTGGAGAAGTAGAAAAAACTGAAGTTTTATTTTTGTGTTTTTTTATAAAAAAGAATTCAGTAGAAATATGAAACAATTTAAAAAGAAAAATGATACATGTCGATTTATAAAGTGATATGTGGCAGTATATCAGAACCGGTTCTAAAAACCTTACTTTATTAAAATAGATTTGGGTAATCACCCATAAAAAGAGAAGATTTTTAAGTTCCTTTTTAATTTTGTAATTGTAAGCAAAATGGTTGTGATTGAAAAAGTTTTTTTTTTAATTTCAAAAAATTTTCTTAGAATTTTATACTTTTTTGTGTTTTTGGTCAAACTTTGAAATTAGTTAAGAATTTAAAAAATTAAATTATAAACATCTTTTTTGGATTAGCAAAAAAGGTATACACGAAATTATACGTTCTCAAAAATTTCACACATCATCTCTCATATCTAATATTAATTTTTGGCCTGATTAAAAAATCAGAAATATTTATTTATTTTCCAAATTAAAACAATATACTTTGCAATTAAAAAAAAATTCTATCACTTACAAAATAATTCATTTCTTATAAATTTATATATATCAGTAAGGAAATACATTAAAAAAACAGAAATTCTAAATTCTAAGATCAAAAGAAAATAAAATAAATTAGTCCAAATTAATAAAACACCTAAATATCAATTATCAACTCCTTCATACATATCTTATCATAAACACCATTGTCAATTTTCAGATTTCTCCCTTTCTCAACCTTAAGTTCAGCTTCTTCACTTTCCCTTTCGTTTTTCTTCTACTTTTCTACACAATGACCATGACCACGGGTTCATCACCATCATCAGAAAATTTCAATATCGTATCATTAATCATGATGATAGGATAAGCAAACTCCCAGATGAACTATTGCATGACATCCTTTCAAGATTGTCTACTGAAGAAGCAGTGAAGACAAGTCTTGTATTGCCACGATGGGTAGATTTATGGAGATGGAGGCCTCATCTTATCCTGGATATGAGAAATGTCTTGAAAATAACCCACACCGAACATTTGCATCAAGTTTCGGTTCATTTGGCTAATTCAATGACCAAAGTGCGTTAATTTATCTTTTCCAATTTTTTTAGGGTTTCATTTTGATCGTTTTTTTATATATATAGAGATTTGTATATTAAAATTTTCAAAAATTGATCGGCTTATAAATTCATGTTTGGATTGGAAGTACTTTTGGATATGTGAATCAAATCTATAATGTAATATGGTAGAAAAAAAATACTATAGTATAATGAAATTCTAGATGTAGAAATTATCATCTTTAAAAACTGCATCGAAAATAAAAAATAATATAATATCTTAAAACAATACTTTTGATGAAAAAAACATGATCAGTAGATTTAAAAGTGAGTAATGACTGTGAATTATATGATCAATAGATTTGAAAGTATGCAATTAAAAGTCGTAGTGAATGAGAATCTAGAAAGAAGTGATATGATGTGTTGTGTTTACTCCATATATAACACATACGAACAAAATTACATGATACTTATGGCTTTGAATTGGAAAGATTAAACTTTTGATATTTGGTATATACACAATTTAATTGGACTTAATCAAATGCTGCACAGGCTAGACAACATTTCTTAAAAATTATATATAGGTTTTGATTGACAACGTCTATTGCATACATGAAAAATTATACATAATTGAAGATGTACATATATAACATATGAAATGTATACACAGTTGTTTCAATTTCTAATCATTTCGTGTTCTGCAAACTTTAAAAAATCACCGTGGCCACCTACAGGCTGCATCATCCACCATTACTATCCCCAATGTAAAGATGGTACGCTCGAAAGCTGGATCCACACAGTGACTCGTGTGAAAGACACTAAAGATCTCACACTTGTAAACGATGACTATCATGGTTCCGTTGGACGTTACGAAGCAAAAAATTTGCTCCACTTGCACCCAGATGCATTTTCGCATCATAGCCTCACTTCACTGTCACTTTGTGGATATAGTCTAGTATCTCCACGTGGCTTCAGAAATTGCTCGAATCTTAAGACCCTCAAGCTTTTAAACATCGTCATCACCCAGGCTAGTGTCCTTACCAATGTTTTCGCAGCTTGCCCCTCTCTCGAGGTGATTGTGTTGCGAGTCGATTGCCTAACCCGATGTGATGTGCTGAAGATCGAGAACAACAACTTGAAGTTCTTACAAGTGACTTCCGCTTATAAGATTGAAAAGATCAAAGTGTATGCAGCTGGTCTAGATGTTCTCGACATCAAGTTTATCAAATGTGAGAAAGAGAACTTCATCCTTGCTGCCCCCAACATCGGCCAGTTTAACAGAGATTACTGGGTTCGTTGTCCTCATGCTCACCTCAGCTACAATGTGTCATATCTCGCTCAGGTACAAGCTCACTTAACACAAACAATGTGCATATTTTGAAAATTAATTTATATAAATAGTTTGACATGTGAATCTTAGGAGAAGAAAAACATTTGGCATGAGCTTATGGTGAGCGACTTTCGTCATATGACCCGCCATGGATCTTTATCGGTGAGTCTAGATTTAACTAATCCGAAAGAAGTGGAGATACTGAAGGAAGTTTTTCTTATGTGGAATACTTACGAAATGATAGAGCTTGAGATCTTGTTCAAGGTACATTCATGTCAAGGTTTAATTCTAATTAATTGTATAAAATTTGATAACTTCTCTCTCACGTTTATTTATCATATTTGCCTTTTAGAACACCAATGCTGCAATAGAAGAAGGTGAATGTTTAACTAACGGGAGAGCACATGAAAAATTGTGGGAGGATGCAAAACCGTTCCCTAATGCTGATTTCCGCATTTACCTTGTGCGGATGTATAATTTCGACGGTTCGAATGAGGAAGAATTTGCGTTAGCTTCCCATTTTGTGATGCAAAAGACGGTGACTAATAAGATGATGATGCATACCTCGTCGTATTCTCCGCCGAAGAAGTTAAAGGTGGAAGCAGCTGTGGCCAAGCTAATGCAACTTCCTAAAGGGAACAAAGATCTTAGTATCGAATGCTTTTGATCAAAAATTGGTTCCAGACTATCTATATTGCTCAGTATCAACTATTTATATGGTGTTAAATTTTCGGTTACTGTTTCTCGTACTTGTTTTGTGTTTTAGCGTTTCAGAGTTTATGTGATCACATAAGGATCTTGTTGTTTGAGATTTACCTTGTCTTAATATGAATATTATCTGATTCGTTTTATTTCGTTCTTGTTTTGGTTAATGCTTTGTGGAAAGGGATTATGTTGACAAAAGAAAACAAGAACCGATGATTCAACTTCAAGTCTTGAACATAAACACATTAACGACTATTTAACCCACACGACACATGAAAGATTTTTTTTTTTTTAACGGCCGGCACACAAAAGTTCCTAGTTAAAAAATTGAATCTTTTACACTCCATAGAATCGAAACCCTAGACCTAGACCTAATTAAAGAAATAAACGTCCGGTTTAAGTTAAAGGCTATATACTAAAAACAAAGTCGAAGATCCCAAAAGGAGAAGTAATAAACGGGAGAAGAAGAGAATGAAGGACACGTGATGATTGAGTTAAACAAATGTCAACGCTAAGTCCATCCTTAAAGCCAAACCTCACCCATTTATTAACCTAACTGCCTAACCGCCATCTCATCACCTTCCTCCTTCATCATCAACTTCCCTTTATGTATAAACATTTCTTCTCCGGTAAAGAAAACACACATTTAAGATTTCATCGAAATAAATAGAGAGAGAAATAAAAGAAAACGATATACGATCATGAAGCTCGTTTATCATATGTGAATGCATTGAAACGGGTCATGGATCGGGTCATTTATTCGGTTTTGCTTGTGGCGGATTTGGGCCGGTTAAGAGGTGACCAAGTGTTGCTTGTGAAGGCAAGCTTGGTGTAAAGAAGAATGAGAAGAAACAGAATGGAAACCGTTATACCAAAGATGTAAGATCGTAATGCCTCTAATGTTCTTGATTTTGAATTCGGCAACAAAGTCCTGGAAACGAATAAAGCTGAGTTTACAATATATTCTACCAAATGTTCTTAAACCAACTTTACAATTCAAACAGAATCTTACCAAAATGAGATCTTTCAGATTCGGGCAGCTCTCAAGAAAGATTGGCAACAATTGTAACATGGAGCTACAAAAGGCAGCTTGCAAACGATATAAGTTACTTAATTCAGGATTAATGACCTGCAATAAGAAAGAAATGATACATCGTTGAGACTCAAAGAACATTTGATTGTTATGTATATGCATCACAGAGAATATATATTTATTATTTATATGTACCTCTATAGTACGCTGAGAGATGATCAGATATCTTACACTAATTATCTCGGATAGAAAATCACAGATGGTATTTCTCTTCATTATCTCCTTTAGATCTAAAGTATTTCGATACTGAGCATTAAAATCTGTATCAATGTCGATCATGAACAAAGAGCTCAAGTTCTTGATTACTATCAGAGGTGGACCCACGTGAGAGGAAGGGGTGTCACCTGTTTTGGCTAATTTGGTTAAAGTCTACATGTCTGACCCTCCCTTCAAGTCTCACATGATACATCATTTATTAGGCTTTAATTTTATTTTTGATAATTTAGTATATATTGTAATTTTTTAAAAAATATATTCTGGGAACACTCTTATCAGATTTATTGTCTTTAAAACTCAAATACTTGAGTCTTGGAACATCAATCTCAACACAAAAGTATGTACCAATCTCAAGCGTGAGATGGAAGCTATAAAGAGCCACAAACCTCACTCGCAGATGTCCAGTTGCATAAACACTATAAATAGTTGTTCTAATCAATGTAAGATCTTCAAGAGCAAGACAACTTGAGATAACTATCAAAGGATCATATTCATATCAAAACATTTTCTAATGCATGATCTTAAAATAAGGTAGAGAAACGACGTACTCGTCTCGATTCCTACGGATATGAGTTTTAATGAGTTCAGTGTGTTGCTTTTGTAAATGTTCTAAGGCATGCAAAGACTAATATCAGCTTCAATATCCATATGTTGGATTCCGCACTCAACTGCTATAGCAATCCACTCCAGAAACCAATCTCGATAGTCGTTGCATACATGGTACTTGATCTTAAACTTATGGATACGTAATTTAGTATATTTGTCGATGAAGAAGCTAAGAAACACTAGGCTATAACGAGGGAAACCATTGATACATAAGTCAACTCCAGGAACATTTAACCAAAGATTTCTCGATCTGGTTGATAAAACGCTTCTTTTAAGCAAATCTTTTGTCGTAAGGTTGAAGAGTACATGAGTTAGGGCAATTCGCTGATTCTATCGAAACCCATAGCAAGGAAAACAAAACCCCAATGTTTCAAAGATATAACGGCACCATACACAAGTTTTAATATTGATTAGAGAGAAATCTGAGAGTGAAGGTGTATCACTTCAATCGCCTCTAGCACTGAACATCCACGTCCGTTCTTGGGCTCGTTGGCTCTACCCTTATATGATGACCGATGTGTTAGTGGGAGGCTTAAAAGTTATGAAATACTGACCATGCAATCAAAACATATTTTTCTGTATTTTGTCCTCACTCATATGATATTGCGAATCACTTCTTGATAAATCACTTATCATAGTGCTCTTACAGCTCAAACACACTTAACTTTGGAGTTTTTCTTAGACTATTGACCGAAAAAATAAATATTTTGGTGACATAGGTAGCCAAATCAATTCCTTTAAGTATTTCTACACATATATTTATATTCCTGGAATCAAGATGTTATAATTTACCTCACTTAGTGACTACAACATTTTTGCTGCACATTAGAACCGTTACCCTCAACGGTGTGAGTCAGTGACTCCACATTCTCATCTGCGTTTGGCTCTGATGGAACTTGTAACGCCTTAATCATCTTTACAAGTAAATACTCAAGTCTGCTTTCAGACCTATGAACTTCATGGCTCCACCCATAGTTAAAAAATATAAAAGTCATAAAATATTAATTCTGCAATCACTATACGATTTTTCTTTATGTTATTTTCATATATATGATACTATAAATCACTTTCTGATAGATTTATCTATTTTAATATTCCTCCAACTCTAACATATTTAATTTTAAAGTTTTTGCAAGATTAATGACATAAAGTGAAAAAAAAAAAAATTGAATTCTATTAGAATCGAGGTTGTACCAAATCGAAATTAAATAAACCAAAATCTTTTAATTTGAACTCTTCTTTTTTTTTGTCGTCTCATTGATTGAAGCCCAAAAGGCATAAAACCCATAATGGGTATAACAGAATACATCTCAGGCCCAATAAAACCAAATAAATTCTAATTCAAGGACAATACACATGCAGACACGTAGAGATACATGTAAAACTAAAACTACCAAAAGCACAATACGTGTTAGGTCGAGATGTTGAGGATTAAAATCTCAGATGACCTTCTGTACAAGGCTGCAAATCAAAACTAACATTTACAAATCTCTTGTAACCTTTCTAATATGAATTACCTACTTTAGCCATAATGAATCATTTCATTAATTAAAAAAAAATTGCATTTCTTCCTCTTCCCCCCACCTGCGAGCGAACAAAATAAGAGCATTCACTCTCTTTCAACAACTCTACCCAAATCCCATTAATTAACTCTATCTTCTTTTTATTTCCAGTGTTGTTGTTCTTCTTCCTTCTTCTTTTCGTTTTCTTTCTCCTCTCCACATTGCAGCAGATCCAAGCAAGGTTTGTTCTTCTTCCTTCTTCTTACTTTTTCTACCCTCTCTCTCTCTCTCTCTCTCTCTCTCTCTCTCTCTCTCTCTCTCTCTCTCTCTCTCTCTCTTAAAATCGTTTGTTGTGTGTTTCTTTGTTGATTTTTGTTAGAGTATATAGACATAGTAAACTTCATTTCAAAATCTAATATGGTTATACATTGGAAAGCTATAAAATTGTAACAGAACTAGGAAGTACAAGTGGTACCATGGGTAAAACTATGAGATAAACAGGGTATAACCGATATAACTAGTAAAACTAGAATAAAGTATAACTAGTATGACTGATACATCTAGTATAACCGGATAACTAGTATAACTGGTACAACTTGTATAGGTTGTATAAGTGGTATAACAGGTACAACTACTATAAATACGTGTACGTAAATGGTAGGACTGGTACAACTATTGCGTGTTGATGTCGTTTATTGTTCTTTTACAGAGGATAATGGATTGTTTCGTCATACATTTTGATCACGGCGGATATTATTCAGATCATGGCGATGATGTAAGATAGAATAGGAAAGAACGTGGTGTTTCTACTCTAGTTATGAGGGGAAAGTTAGAGGAGATAAATTATTGTCGATTAGTTAATAGGATAAGGAGTAAGATTCTGGTAGATGAGGTGATGACAAAGCTTGTGCTGATTTACCTTCCGTTGATAGTCGAACCTTTAAGGCCTTCATATATCTTGAATGATGAAGATGTCTTAGGATATATAATGGAAGTCAATAGCATATAAACATAGTAAACTTCATTTCAAAATCGTTTGTTGTGTGTTTCTTTGTTGATTTTCGTTAGAGTATATAGACATAGTAAACTTCATTTCAAAATCTAATATGGTTATACATTGGAAAGCTATAAAATCATAACAGAACTAGGAAGTACAACTGGTACCATGGGTAAAACTATGAGATAAACAGGGTATAACCAATATAACTAGTAAAACTATAATAAAGTATAACTAGTACGACTGATACATCTAGTATAACCGGATAACTAGTATAACTGGTACAACTTGTATAGGTTGTATAAGTGGTATAACGGGTACAACTACTATAAATATGTGTACGTAGGACTTGTACAACTATTGGTGCTGATGTTGTTTATTGTTCTTTTATAGAGGATAATGGATTGTTTCGTCATACATTTTGATCACAGCGGATATTATTCAGATCATGGCGATGATGTACGATGGAATAGGAAAGAACGTGGTGTTTCTACTCTAGTTATGACGGGAAAGTTAGAGGAGATAACTTATTGTCGGTTAGTTAATAG